AGTTGGCCACTGTGTCAAGTACTCGGCGAGGCCTTGTGGGTACCGTGATGAGCAAAGGACACACTCAGCTCCTGTCCTCAGGAAGCACACACTCGGGGATGGGGCGAGGGTATGCGAACCGCACACAGCCACACAACTCCCCAGGGATGTCCAGAGCAGAAGCTGAAGGCGGGACGGACAGGAATCGGGTTTCTGGCCAGGTGTGGGTGGCCAGCAAAGGCTTCTCGAGGAAGCTCCACTGAAGTTGAGCCGGCAGCGGCCAGCAGGAGGAGGTCCCGGCCGGGAAACGGCACATGGGAAAGACCAGAGCCGCGAGAGCTCGGCTGCACAGAGCCGTAAGAACCGCGGGGGTCGTGGGAGCTGAGAAGTCGATGACCAGGGGCTGCGTTAAAATGCTTTTCCCAGCAGCTACGGGGCGCCCCTGGAGGCCTCTAAACTGGGTTGTGTCGCGTGATGCCCCGTGTGATGAATCTTGCCTCCGATTCTGAGCCCTCACCCGTGTTAATCTCTTGTGTCCCTGGACCGCCACGAACGTCCGCAAAGGCGTTTTCTCCACCTCCTGGATGAGAGCGTTTGGAGCTCCAGAGCGAGCGCAGGGGCTGAGCTCCCGTCTCCAGCCCGCATCGCCCGCCCCATGCTCCTGCCCAGCAGGGGCCACCCGCGCGGGGTGGTCGGAGAGGAGGTGCTGTGCCTGGGGAGACCCTAGGAGCCGGTTTCCCTCCCTGTCCGGTCTCTTAGCCCCCAGGTGACAATGTGGCTCCCTGATGTCCCGGCTCCTAAAGTAGTCCAGCCGGAAAGGGGGAGGATCAAGCCCTCGGGCTTTGCCTGGGAAAACGCTGCCTTCCCCACCCACCCGGGGCAGGGCTGGCAACAGTGAGGGCTGCCGGCCTGGGCCTGTCTGGGCTCCCTCTCAGATAGATCCAGGGAGCGGGGCTCCGGGCAGCCCAGAGGCCAGGCTGAGCGAACCCGCAGCTGCAGGGAGGCATCAGTCCAGCAGGAGGTGGAGGTGGGGGGTCTCCGCTGCCCGAGGGGTGCAGCGGGGGCAGAGGATGCCGGGCGGGGTGAGCACTGAGAGCAGGCACGGGGCTAACGCCCTCTGGTGTCTACCGTCCACCTCACGTGTAGGGTTTTCTTCGATTCGCTTGTCAGCCCTTCGTGGTAGTGAAATCCCTGTTTTACCGGTCAGGAAACTGGCTGGGAGACGCTAAGTGCACTGTCACCTCAGCACTCCGGGAGTCTAAAACAGAATGGCAAGTTCAAACCCAGCCTGGCCAACTTAGTGATTTAATGAGACCTTTTATCAGAATTTAGAAAATAAAAAGGGTTGGGGATGTAGCTCAGTGTGAGAGTCCTGGGTTCAACCCCCCAGTACAACAACAACAAAAAGCCCTTTTACCATGCTCAGTTCTCTAAAAATCTTCCTAGTGCAAAATTTCCTTCCCTGGAGAAAGTCATTCTTTATCTTTCTCTCAAGCAAAATCCCAGTTCCTTCAGCTTTTTGTAAGAAAGCACCCGGCTTGCAAGAGACCAGAACAAGCTCAATGGGGCACAAAAAGGAGATTTGGAAGGGATAAGGGCTTCTGGTGAACCCGAAACCAGACCCCAAACCAAGGCTCTTCAACTTCCCAAACAGCCCAAGCGAAGAGGAGGGAAGGACAGGAGCAGCATTCACACACTGAGAAGTATCCTGCTTTCTAGTAGCCAAGGCTGATCTCTGTGTAGAATTCACTTGCCCTCATGGAAGTTAAGGCAAGTTTTATCAAATGGACTTTCCTGGCTTCCCCACTCTGGCCTTTACCTGGAGCAAAAGCCAGGACATCCACTTTAGGGGACAAATGATGTGCCAGAGAAGGAGGTTGTGGGAAGGCAGGCCAGTACCTCAGTCAGGCCTGTGGTAGCCACAAGCCCCCAGGCCAGCCTTGCCTAGCTGTCTTTAAGGAGGACAGGGCCAGGGAAGAATGGCCTTCTCTGTACTCATCACCAGAGCCACTGTGCCTGTCCTTTGGTGACCTGAGCACCTTCTGTCCTGACTGCATTTCCTCTGCCAGCCCCGTGATGACTTACTTTACTATTAGCTTCTACAAGGTGAGAACCCCTACCCCAGCACTCGGGGAAGACGCCTATCAAGGGGACCAGCATGTCTGCCTTGTATCTGATGCTGACTCACCTCGCTCTCCAGTCAGGAGCTCAGAGTCAAGTCTGGGCAGAAGCTGGCCTGAGCTCCGGCATACACCCTAAACTTCAGGAATCTCAGGTTCCTCAGCCTTCAATGCCACATCCAGTGGACAGTGATAGGACTTTCTAAATTATAACATTCTGTGTAAATCACTTGATGGCTCATTCCTAACAAAGAACATCAAAGCCCCACACATAGCAGGCGGGCCACTATCAGGAAATTGCCAGCCTCTGAGAGTGGAGCTAACAGAGTCAACAACAGATGGCTCCATCATCTGCACAGAAATCCATGCTCGGGGCAGGCTTTGTCACTGGGGATGAGGGAGGTCAGAGGAATCCATCTGGGTGACCCTGCTTCTGACACTAAATGGATTGCAGGTTGTATCTGAGGAAGTTGTAGCCTAAGATAAAACTGTTAACCTGGGAAGCCCCCCCCTCCCAGCAGACTAGAGGGATGGCTAAATAGTATTCTATAATTGTGACTCAGTAGTTTTTTGACACATTTTGAATTTTTTTGTGTGCGTGTGTGTGCCGGGGATCGAACTCATGACCTTGCGCTTGAGAGGCAGGCGCCGGAACCACTGAGCTAAATCCCTGGCCCTTTTTGATACATTTTGAATCTCTGGCCTTCAAAGAAGTGGGAGGTCTAGGGCTGGGGATTTAGCTCAGTGGTTCTGCCGCCTGCCTCATAAGCGCAAGGTCCCAAGTTCAATCCCCAATACCAAAAAAAAAGCAAAAATAAAAGGAGTGGCAGGTCTAATCTAAAAAGTGGTATTTCCAGCTTTTCTCAGAAATGACCATATCTGGCCACCCTGGACACACCTTCCCTCAAGACACCAATCCATTAAAACTGGGCAGCTGCTCTGCCTTCAGGGGGTGTGCAGACCCAAGACTGTCCCAGGCCACCACTCCACTGTCTCCCAGACAAGGAGGCTGAGGGTCACCTGTCAGACATGACAGCACTTTACTACTGGGTTCTTGTACCAGGCCTGCTTTCCCCATCTATGTGACCTCAAAGCCCTGACAGACACATGAGCAAGGCCTCAGCCATTGTCTACACCCTGACACAATCTCAGTCCCTGACAAAAGAAAAGAGAAATGAAAAGTCATTAGTCAGCTTTTTGTTGCTATAACAAAATACCTAAGAAAATCAATTTAAAGGAAAATTTATTTTGGCACATTGTTTTAGAGGTTTAGTCCATGGTCTGCCTGCTCTGTTATTTTTAGGCCTGTGGTGAGGTAGAAACATCATGGTGGAAGGGTCATCACCTTATGGCAGCCAGACAGCAGGGTGAAAGAGAGAAAGACCACACACAGGAAAGGACTGAGAACAAGATATATCCTTCAAAGTAGGTCATGCCCCCAGTGATCTACAACATTTTTCAAAAGTAACTGCACCATTTTACAACCCTGCCAGCAATGTCTTGGAGTTCCAGTTTTTGTACATCCTCACCAACACTTATTTTCCTTTATTTGAATTCTAATCATCCTGATGAGCATGATGTGGTATTTTTTTTTTTTTTTTTTTTTCCTGAGGCAGGGTCTCCCTTTGTAGTTCAGGCTGGCCCTGAACTAACTATGTAGCCCAGGCTGGCCTCGAACTCACAGCAATCCTCCTGCCTCAGCCTCCCAAGTGGAGGGATTACAGGCATGCACCACCACACCCGGCTTGTTATGGTTTTAATTTGCATCTCTATAATGGCCAATGATGAAACCGCAGGTTTTAGGGGCTTGTGGGCTATTTGTGTATCTTCTTTGTATATTCTGGATACCGATCTCTTATCAGGTATATGACTTGCACAAATTTTCATCTGTCAATTGTCTTTTCACTTTCTTGAACATCCTATGAAGCAAAATTTTTCTTTTAATTTGATGAAGTTCAATCTATTATTTCTTTGAGTTACTCATGTTTTGGTGTCCTATCTAAGAAACCATTGCCTAATCCACTGTCACAAGAATGTACACGTAGGTTTTCTAAGAATTTTATAGATTTAGTTGTTTATATCATTTCTACGATCTATTTGTGTTAATTTTAAATGATGGGAAATTGGGGTTCAGCTTCATCTTTGGTTCTGACTCCATTTCAAAAAAAATTTTTTTAGTACTACACATTGAGTACAGGATCTTTACACTGAGCTACAGCCCAAGACCTTTTAACTTTTCTTCTGAGAGAGGCTCCTCCTTAATTCCCTGAGTTGCCCAGGCTGGGCTCAAACTTTCGATCCTCCTTCCCCAGCCTCCCAGGGTGCTGAGGTTACAGGCGTGAGCCCAGCTTCTATGACCCTTCTTAAGCTGGTTCTTTCTTAGCCCTGTGGCTTCATCTTCTGCCTCACCCTACCCTCACCCAGACCCATTGAATGATTGCTCCTTCTCTCCCCTGACCTGCATCTCTGCAGGCTGATTTTTTCCCCAGACTACAAAATCTCCTTTTCCCTCTTGCCACATCTCCTGCCTGTCTCCTCTGAAATGACCTGGCAGATCTAGCCTTGGGTGTCACAACTTCTGAAAGGTCTTTCATAAGAGCCCAAGATTGCTTTCTTACAATGTCGATTCTAGGGACTCTCCATCATTTCTCCACTCACTCTCTTCTTACCACTTCATGCCTCACCTCATCTCTATGTGTGAACACATAATACCCTGTATTTGAGCTGATTCAAGGATCCCAGAAATCTAAAGATTTTATAAACAAGGGCTTGCCCCAGAAAAAGATACCCTAGGAGAGTAGATCTTAGTAGCACCAAAAGAATGAGTCTTCTCTCTGCCTTTCATTCCCTTGTACCTCCCCTATGTCACTCATCCAGACTAGAATGAAGCAGCTTCCCGGTTTTATTTGTTGTACTTTTACTGATTTCACCATCAACTCTGATCCATGTTTTCCTCCATGGCTTTTTTCTCCCAGAGGTAGATATGCCTGACCATGAGACCACCAGCTTGATTGGCTTTCACCACCAGCCTTACGCAGCTCACGGGGTCCGCCGTGCTGTCCTGCAGTATCTCCCAATCCATCTGCCCTGCCACAAGCCAGCCCAGCAGCACAAAGTTGGCACAGCCCTGCGGCATCCCGTAGCCTAGCTGCACCTGCCCCTTGCTCAGGGCGTGCTTTCCCTCCACGATGGAGCCAGTCATCACCTGCACTCTGCTCAGCCTCTCTGGGTGGTTCAAAACCACGGTCAAGTGGTTCCCTGGCCGGATGTCATCTGTCCAGAAGAACGACTCGTCCAGAGCGTAGGCCTCCCAGGGAAAGTGAGCACCAGAAACGTTCATGTTGGTGAAGACAGACGCAGAGGAGTTGCTAGGGCCGTAAGGGTTCTTTTTCGGGACTACTGTGTCCTCCTTGTCATCAGAGGTGGGGTGGGACAACCTGTGGTAGAAGAGGAATGGTCTGCAGAGGATCGGCTTTTCCTGGACCAGGAGGGTGTGGAAGTGAAGGATCGGCCTGTCAAGGGGCTTCTCCTGGTGGAAGAGGAGGAGGAAGTGGGCCAGGACCGGGAGGTCCCTGCTGTGGAAGAGTTTGCCAATGAGGCCCACGTTCGAGAACTCCAGCAGCACCCACGGGCTGGGCTTCAGGGCGGTCACCTTGGAATAAATGTGGGTGACAAAGTTGGGCGCACAAAAGACAGCGTCCCCTAGTAACAGGAAGTAATCAGAGAGCTTTGTGGCGAAGCTCATCAGGAAGGCGTGGTCTACGTTCTTCTTGGAGTAGCCTTCCCCGCGGGAGGCTTTAGCACCGTGGCCGCCACTCACAGTAGGGTAGGCAGCAGGTGGAGCATGGATGAGCAGCAACTGCCCCGTCAAGATCTCCGAGCTGAAGAGGGTCGAAATACGGGCAGTAGTGTCTTTGAGCCAGGTGAGGTTGGAATCTGCCAGGTGGGCCAGCACGGTCAGGCGTTTCTGCTCGGCCGTGGAGGAGGCATTGTACAGGGAGACCAACGTGTGCACCAGGCTGCTTGGATCCTGTCGTGACAGTGCAGAGATCCCCACCGTCAGCCATGCTAAGGGGAGGTAAAGTAGGGACAACTGTCAGCGTAGGGGAGGTGACGATTGTCCAAGGATTAGAGGAGGGGACGCTACTGGGGTCTCCTCTCCTTCTTCCCTCTCCTATTTCCTATCTGCTGTTCCTGGTGACAGAGGGGATGTTTACACCCTGCTACTCTAAGTGTGGTCCTTAGTCCAGCAACGGCAGCCTCATCTGCCAGTTTATTAGACGTGGAATCTTGACCCCTTCCTCAGAATCTGCGTTTTGACAGTCTCACAGGTAACCTGTGCACATACCGGACTTTGAGAAGTACTAAGCTAGGTGATTCTCAGCCCCTGGGGGTCCCTTTGACTCTTTTTTTTTTTTTTCATGCTTCAAATACAAAATATTTGTTACACAAAAAAGTAGTAACTGACAAACTACCAATATGTTGAACTTAGAAAAAGTACTAAGTTATTTCATAACTCTTTAAAAAAAAACATATTTTTATTATTCAAGCTAACTTACTTCCAAGTTACAATAGTTACAAAATTTTGGTTTAAAAAATGCTTCTCTGTGACTGCCTCAATTTATTTTGCTATGCCATGACAAAAACAAAGTATCTTTGAAATGCTTTGGGTATTTAAATGGATATTTGTAACATAAATTTATATAAATACCTTTTATATCAATAACAGGCCAACATATACCCTCCCTAAACACCCTTTTAGTAGAAACAGGAACCATTCTCCTGCTCCTCCTGCTGCCGTGCTGCCCTTAGTCACTCCCTGCGCACCTGGCCGCCTGACTCCCCGAACTAGCTGCTGATATTTGCAGTTCTTACAACATGGCAGACATTGACAACAAAGAACAGTCTGAACTTGATCAAGATTTGGATGATGCTGAAGAAGTAGAAGAAACTGGTGAAGAAACAAAAATCAAAGTGCGTCAGCTGACTGTTCAGATGACACAAAAACATCAAATTCTTGCAGCCCTTCAAGAAAGATTTGATGGTCTGGTAGACACACCAACAGGATACATTGAAAGCTTGCCTAGGGTAGGTAAAAGAAGAGTGAATACTCTCAAAAACCTTCAAGTTAAATGTGCACAGATAAAAACCAAATTCTATGAGGAAGTTCATGATCTTGAAAGGAAGTCTGCTGTTCTCTACCAACCTCTATTTGATGAGCGATTTGAGATCATTAATGCAATTTATGAACCTATGGAAGAAGAATGTGAGTGGAAACAAGATGAGGAAGAAGTAGTTTCAGAGGAGCTGAAAGAAAAGGCCAAGATTGAAGATGAAAAAAATAGATGAAGAAAAAGAATATCCTAAAGGAATTCCTGAATTTTGGTTGACTGTTTTTAAGAATGTTGACTTGCTCAGTGACATGGTTCAGGAACATGATGAACCTATTCTGAAGCATTTGAAGGACATTAAAGTGAAGTTCTCAGATGCTGGCCAGCCTATGAGTTTTATCTTAGAATTTCACTTTGAACCTAATGAATATTTCACAAATGAAGTGTTGACAAAGACGTATAGGATGAGATCTCAACCAGGGACCAGAATCCCTTTTCATTTGATGGACCAGAAATTATGGGCTGTACAGGATGCCAAATAGATTGGAAGAAAGGAAAGAATGTCACTTTGAAAACCATTAAAAAGAAGCAGAAACATAAGGGACGTGGGACAGTTCATACTGTGACTAAAACCGTTTCCAATGATTCTTTAATTTTTTTGCTCCTCCTGAAGTTCCTGAGAGTAGAGATCTTTATGAAGATGCCAAAGCTATCCTTGCTGCAGACTTTGAAATAGGTCACTTTTTACATGAGCATATAATTCCAAGATCAGTGTTGTACTTCACTGGAGAAGCTATTGAAGATGATGATGATGATTATGATGAAGAAGGTGAAGAAGCAGATGAGGAAGGGGAAGAAGAAGATGAAGAAAATGAACCAGACTATGACCTAAAGGAGGAGCAAAACCCAGCAGAGTGCAAGCAGCAGTGAAGCAGGATGCATGTGGCCTTGAGGATAACCTGCACTGTAATGGCCTAAACACAGCTATTATTTACTTACAGCCTTATGCTTTTGTATTTTCTTGTTGGACTCAGTAATTTTTTTAAAGGAATTGATATTTTAAAGACCAATTTGTTTAACTAGCATTTTAACTATAGCTCTGCTGTCAAATACATTGAATGCACAGATTCTCTGAAGCATGCTCCTTCATTGCTGCAATTTGGTTCTTTGCATCATATAATTATTGGAGTATAACTATGAAAATTAACTTTTTCCTGAAGAATCAAAAGTTTTCCTGCTAGTAGAGTGGGTTTAAGTCGGTTGCATAGTTGTGGTTTTCATTTTTTTTGTTACAAAAATGCAGTGACTTATACCAAGACAATTCATCATTTAAAGGGGAAAAAAATAAACTTGTGGTTAAGAATTTCCAGTAAGACCAAATCTGATAATTGTTAGCTTACTAATGGATTTTTACATTTTAGGTGATAGTTAATTATAAGGAAGCCTAACTTACATGGATATGGTTACCAAAGGGAAGTGAATAAAACCTAAAATTTGCAGAAGTTAAACTGATACTATTTTAGTGTACTTCTAAATTTAACATCTGTCAACTAAGCATCTTTTCTTTGTGGTAGCGTCTACCTTCTGCTTTCCTGGAAAGGATGACTTTACATCTTTTGATGAGCCTATTTCACGTTTTTTGGTTGTTTGTTGGCTTATTTTTGTTTTTTTGCAGTCCAAAATAAAAATGTTAAATGCAAAAAATTAAAAAAGAAACAGGAACCATTAATGTTGCAGAATAAAACTTACAGTACCTCTCAATTTACATACAGCACAATAAGCAATCTGACTAGGCTAGTGATATTTAAAGAACATGGTTAGTCTCTCCTGGTATTACTGAATATGCTAGTACTTTCATCAAATGAAAAGTATTTCCATTATCTTATATTTTCCTCTGTATTTCTTGTCTCTAGGTTGGAATAGCCATGTGGGATATGTAGAAGTGGCCCAGAGCCTGTTGGTTCTATGCTTTTGGTTCATTCTTCCCAACCTTTGGTAGATTTGTAAAGCCTAGAGGGATCTCTACTAACATTATTTTCAACCTTTTCCTTTAATTTTGCCAATCTTCTTTGTTTTTCTGCCTTTTCCTCTTCTTTTGCTTGCCTATCCTAGAATTTTCAATTCAAGTTTATATAAATCTCTTCCTTGAAACTTGGAAATTTCATCAGCAACAGCTTTTCTTTTTTCTGCCTTTTCTGCCTTTTCTCTTACCTCTTTTTCAAGCCTCAAAAATTCTTCCTGTTCTTTCTTCTGCTGGTGTAACTTTCTAATAGTAATTTTAGTTTAAGCTGGTGTTGGTGTTCTTTCTTCTGCTTTTTCTCTTTCTCTTCCTCTTCTTTTAACTTAGAAGCATATTTCATTGACAGTTCTATACTTTTCTGTTTTTTCCAAGCTTCAACTGCCAACTTCTGTTTCTTTCTTTCTCCCTCTTTTTGCTTTTAGATTACCTTCTGGTTTATTATGAAAAAGCACAGGAATGTTGTCTGCCTTCTCTTTTAACTTGAAAATTTCTTGCTTCTTTTGCTGCTTTTGGTTTTCCAATTCTGAATAGACTTTTTTTTTCTTTCTTCTAGAGTCACAAATTTCCGATACCATTTCTCATGCTGTTGAACTTCATCCTGTGTTCTTCCCGGGAAGTGTTCTAGAACCTCTTTCATAAATACAGGCTTCACTTTATGTTTATTTCTCACTTTTATTAAGTTCTGGTGGTCATAATTATCCCAGCCCCCCGTTGCCCTCCTGTTTGCTCCAGGAATTTTTCAAAATCTAACACTCCTGTTGGGAGAGTATTTGGTGTCATTTTGTCTACAGAAACTTTACTTGAGATTGCTCTGAAAGCTTTCTCTGTTTCTAAATTACCCAAAGCCCATGTGTCAATTTGTCTTGATATGGCACTCAATTCATTATTTGTTGTTTTTTCTTCTTTAATAAGCTCATCATTTATCAGTCTTTGTTCTTCTTTAAAAGTGTTGATTGCAGTTTCAATTTCTTCCATCACTTCTCTGAGCTTTTCAACAAAATCAGGTGTAGGGGTCACATCTTAACTGATGCTGAAGTTTCTTTACATTGTTATGTATTTTGGCTAATTGTTGCTGGATTTTTGCTCTTTCCATTTTCCTGCTGTTAATCAATTTATTTTCCAATTCTTCCAGGCTACTGTGCTCAATTCTGAAGTCATTTTTTTGGTTGTAGAAATGACTGTGTTTATCTTTCTCTATAATAATAACTTGATTTTTAAATTTTTCGGCTGTGCGTATAAATTCTGCTTTCTTTGTTCGACTAACTTTCCGCTTCCAGTTTTGAAGTTGAAAAGGATGAATTCCACCTGGAGTGCTGAAGCAGCCATGACTCCGTTGCTGCGCGGGCGCCGCTCCCACGCTGGTCGCCGCGGCCGCTCCCGCTCCAGTCACCGCCACTACGACCGTCGTCAGGGCGGCCATGTTTCCTCACCAAGTCCTCCGGGGACTGAGACAGAGACCAGGCGGATCTGGGGGTTCGTGCCCGAGCAAGTCCCCCCCCCACACACACACCGGGTCTCCGCAAACCTGTCTACGAGGTGCGGCCCGCAGGAGTGCGGGGCCCGGCTCGTCCCTTTGACTTTTTAAACCTCAAACTTTAAGGGCTATCATTTAGGTGCTCAGTGTGTAAGCTATTATTTTAGTTACTATAATTATTTTATTCTTACCCAGTTCATCCTCCCAAAGGCCTTTTTCGAAGAAATAGATTAGAAAAAGGATTTTCCCTGGCAGTCAGGGGCCCCCCCCTTTTTATGCAGTGTTGGGGACTGAACCCCGGGTCTTCACACTGAGCTACATTCTCCAGCTCCTGTTTTATTTTTTTCTCTTTGAGACAGGTTCTCACTAGGTTGCTAGGTTGTCCAGGCCGGGCTGGAACTTGTGATCCGCCTGCCTCGCTCTCCCAGAGTGCTGAAGCAGTAAGTGTGGACCAACATACCCAGCCAGCCTCAGGGTCTGGTCCCAGTTCTGCCGCTGTGTAATCCTGAGCAAGTTTCTTCACCCCTGAGTTTAGGTCTAAATCCAGAAAGCAAGAGAATTGGACTGTGTGACTCTTCCAAACCCGCCTGACCGGGTGGGGCACTGGTGGTGCAGCAGTGAGCACAGCTGCCTTTTG